AGGGGCCACTGAGGAACCCACACTGGTCTTTCTGATTTCCAAATAATTTTGATTGTCTCAGTGGCCCTTTTTGAAAACCCAATCCATGTTTATTTATTTCTTGATCTATTTGAATTGGTGCTGTCATACCTTGTTCTTGTTCTCTTCATCTTTTTTCTTTCCTAAAGCCTTGTTTAGCCCTAGTAGTGGGCGCGTTAGGATTGATGTTATTTGTTAATGTCAATCCTAATTGATCTAGGACATCTCATCCCCATAAATTTATGGGAAGATGGTCCAATACATAGGGCTGTATAGTTCCTTCACATCCTTCAGGATCCCTCCAATCTAATACCATAGCACTTCTATGGGGATTTGTTGCCAGTCCTAGGCCTCGAAGCGTTTGAGTGGCTTGTTGTAATGGCCAATGCTTTGGCCATTCTTGACAAGATATGATGCTGAGGTCAGCACCTGTGTCCAGCAGCCCATTAAAGTCATGTCCTTGAATATTTAATTTTAGCATTGGGCAAAAATCTAAATTTAAAGACAGCATAGCCCAATTTACACCTGTGGAGCCTAATCCCTTGGAACCTCTTTCTACATTACAACTGGAAAATTTATCATGTAGGCTGGGTATTATTAATAACTGTGCTATTCTATCTCCTGATGAAATTACTGATATACCTCTTGGAGAACTAGCTATAATTTTTCTTTCACCCTCATAATCGGGATCAATTACCCCAGGACTTTTCATAAGTCCTTTTAGTGTAGAAGAACTGCTTCCTAATAATAAGCCTACTGTTCCTTGGGGAAGAGGTCCTTTTACTCCTGTGGGAATGATTTGAACTCCCATCTCTGGAGTTAATACTGCTCTGGCAGAGGCACAGATGTTCAACCCTGTGATCCCTCTAGTTTGTCTGATGAGGGATTTAATGGATAATGCGTCCTGGGCACTACCTTGATGGTGCTTTTGGGTTCCTCCATTGCCCCCTATATTTGTGGTTTTGGGCCCCGGGGCATTGGGCCCTCCAATCCGTTTTTTGGCAATGGAGCCTGATACCTTTCTCCATGATATCGTGGGTAAGCACTTGGTCCTTGTCCATTTTTTGATAATGGAATACCCTCTATGGTGGTTTGAGAACGGCATTCATTAGCCCAATGTCTCCCTCTATGGCATCGTGGGCAAATACCCAGGATTCTACTCCTTTGATACCTAGCTTTGTTAAACCCTCCTCCTATGGGGCAATTCCTTTTAAAATGTCCTGTTTGATTACAATTATAGCATGTTTTTGGCCTGGCATCTAAAGCCTGTTGTACTGCTGCTAAGACTTGCCCTTGTTCGTTAATGTCTCTACATAATTTAATATATGTGTTTAAATCTTCATGTTTCCATGGTCTAATGACCTCTCTACAGCAACGATTTGCTTGGTCATAAGCCAGTTGTTTTATAAATGGCATTGCCTGTTCTGTATTTCCAAATATTCTAGAGGCTGTCTGAATAAGTCTATCTACAAATTCAGCGTAGGGTTCATTAGTTCCTTGTATTACCTTAGATAGTTGACCTTGTAAATCTCCTTGTCCCTGCAAAGTTTTCCATGCCCTAATTGCATCTACAGCAATTTGTGTATATACGCCAGGGTCATATTCAATTTGCTGTCTCTGACCCTCATAAGGTCCCTTTCCTAATAACATTTCTATATTTCTTTGAGGGTAACCGGCTGCTGCATTTCGCCTAGCTGTCTCCATGCAAAATTCCTCATTGGCAACTTTCCATAATAAATATTGTCCTCCATTTAGCACAGACCGACACACGTTAGCCCAATCTGCTGGTGTCAAGTCCAAGTTGATAATAGATTCAACCATACTTATTGTAAAGGGTGCCTGCGGACCGTAGGTTGTTACAGCTTCCTTTAATTTCTTTATTATTTTGAAATCTAATGCACGGTAAACTCGTTGCCCTTCTGCCCGCTCAAGTACAGGTCATGCTAACTTTTGGGGTCCTGCCTCAGGATTCCGTCCATCAACTATGGAAGTTGAGGGCCGCTCAGCTGCAGGTGGAGCTGTTGGTTGAATTACGCCCTCTGGTGATAGAACAGAGTTAGTAGCAGCCTCCCTATCTGATGGCTGTTTTTCCCCTGAGCTTGCTTTCTTCAAATCTTCCTCTGTCTGACTAGCTTGAGAGACCTTCTCTTTTGCTTGACCTAATACGTTTTCTACCATAGCCTGGACCTCTAACAATTACTTAACAGTCTTTCAGTTTGTTTTTTACTAGATTCTAATCTACTATAAAGGTAACGTAGCCCAATAAGATAGGATAGAAGAAAGCCAAAACAGAATGAAGCAAAAATGGAGAAGAGAATGGTTATATCGATTTTCTCTTTCTCAGGGCCGAATAACTTCAAACCTTGACCAACCATTTTTCCCAGTTCGCCTGAGAAAATTCTAAGGCTAAGGAGCTTGAAATAAAAACAAAATAGATCAAAACAAGAATACCCATTCTGTCGCCTTCCCTCAGGGGCAAGCAATATTACTCACCTCTAAGCGTCGGGCGTTCCCCGTTGGGGCCACCACTTGCCGCAACCCGGCTGGGCACAGAATCACAAGCCGCTCAAGCAGGAACAAAGTTTTATTTTAAAAAGGCCGCCAGTGCCCCATGTGCACCCGGCTAGCAAGCTGGTCCACACACGTGTGTGCGTCTACCGGAACCGGGGGCCCGGACCTCCCCCGGAAATTTCCTCCTACTATTCTTCCCCAACCAATGGGAACTCTCCGGGAGTCCCGTAACATGAGTCCCGTAGCAGGTGAGGTGAACAGCAGGAGTCCAATTTCCATATGAATGTAAATCTTAACATAATCATATCATCTCAATGGCTAGCTGGCAGTCACCTAAACCAAAGGTGCCATGTATCATAATACTTTTGCTGTGGCTCCTAGCAGAAGGGAAAAGAAAGTAACTTGGAATGAAATTGACAAAGTTGTGCTATGTACACCTGTGAACGTACACAGTGAATTTCACCTTTATGTAAAGCACAAAAATAAAAATTAATTAATTAATAAATGGAAGACCAGTAGAGTAGAGGGAGGGGAAGGGGGAGAAGAGGGATGGGGAGAGGAAGCACTGGGGACTGAGAAAGAGAAAAGATTATTTCATCATGTATGATTTGTTGAAATGAATCCCCCGATTATGTACAAGTATAATGCACTGATAATGCACGTTTTATAAAAGAGGAAATTCAGTGAATTGAGTTGAAGAGGATGTTTCTGTCCAAAAGTTACCACCTTCCCAAATCTTGTCAGTGCTCACACTATGATTATGAGCACTGCCCAGCACAGATGCAACTCAAACAATGTCCTATCTAATCTATCTAACTCCTCTGAAAAATTCAAAATGTCCCAAAACTTGAGAGTCTGAGACCCAGATACATTGCATCTCTCAGATCTGGTGGACAATGTCAAATAGTCACTAAAGACCACATGCTTGACTTGACTGTCTATGATAAACACATATGTACATACATAAATTATAATCATTCATCATTTATATGCTCCTTAAGCAAATAGTTTTTATTCTCAAATAAGTATTGTACTAAAAAATAGTTTTGTCACAAGACACTGAGATAGCCAGGCATGGTGACACACACTTGTAATCCCAGTGGCTCAGAAGGCTGAGGCAGGAAGATCATGAGTTCAAAGCCAACCCCAGCAAAAGTGAGGCACTAAGCAACTCAGTGAGACCCTGTCTCTAAATAAAATCCAAAATAGGGCTGGGGATGTGACTCAGTGGTCAAGTGCCCCTGGTTCAATCCCCGGTACCAAAAAAAAAAAGACACTGAGATGGAGCTGAGGGTATAGCTGCTTGGTAGAGAACTTGCCTAGTATGCACAAGGCCCTGGGTTCCAGTCTCAGCACCAAACAACAACAAAATGTTATTAACTAATAGGACACTGATCAGAAATAAATAAATAAATACACACACACACACACACACACACACACACACACACACATCAAAATAAAAAGGAGAACAGACCTGAGATTCTGGAGGGTGGTCTGCAGGGCGAGGGAAAGGGACAGAGAAGCTGGGAGCCGTTGTCAGGGTTCCAGTTCCCGCACTGGAAAGTGGGGTCATGGATGCCGATTAATTATTAATAAGCAGATAATTAAACACAAACACATGCATCAGAGTATTGACACAGGGCCTGGTAAATGACGGAGAGGGTCAACTGGCTGTTTATGTTAACAAGCTCTCCCTGCCCTCTCCTCCCTCGCCTCCGTCCTGACTCAGGCCAGCCTCTGCTCACTCTTATTGGCAGAAATAATCTCCCCTGGACTGGTGCCACCCTGTTCCTCTCTTCCAGAGATAGGCAGGCACCCAGGTCACAGACAAGGGTGACGGAGGACAGCCAACAGCTCACATCCACACACCTCTGCACGGCCACTCACCCCCACCGCTGGAGGACAGTGCCCCTTGCACAGCTCCAGCAGAGCGGAGATGCCTCTGGCCATCTGACCACTAACCATCAAGATTCGGGCTCAGGCCCTTCACACACCAGCCGTCCCCACCCAACCCCTGAGCTGGAAGGAGGCCTTGCTCTTCCTTCTGAGGGATCCCCAAGTACAGAGGCAGCGACCAGCCCACTGCAGGGCCCCATCCATCTGTCTCACCCGCAAGAAGGAATAGAGCAAGCCTCTCCTGTCCATCTGCAGAAGGTTCCCCAAGAAGGGCAGAGGACGGGGGCCTGGTGGGAGGCGGCTGCTGGCCTTTGGGTGGCCCCTGACCAGCAGAAGAAAGAGGCCTGTGAGCAGAGCAAGGAGCAGGAGGACACTGAGCTCCATGGTCCTGGTCTGACCGCCGTCCACCAGCTGCAGCCTCAGCTGGACCTTTTATCCCGAGCCTCCTCCCCACCCTGTTATGCAACCCCATCTGCTCCCCGCCTCCCTCGTCACCGTCCAAGAGTGTGAAGTAGCAGAGAGGTGCTGGGTGCTCACACTTCCTGCTTGCTTGGCCCCGTGACCTGCCCCCTCCCACCTGCCCCCTCCCACCTGCCCCCTCCCACCTGCCCCCTCCCTTCCCCTCTGCCTCCTCCCCAGATATTGGCAGAGATTCTGTGAAAGTGATACCACAGTGCACGGGGGTGTGTGCTGCTCTGTGCGGTGTTGTGTCTTTTCTTCTGTGTTCTTGGGTGTGGTTGGGTGTGCAGTGTCCACAGATATTGTCTGCTTGTTTATGCTGGCATGCGATTGTCCCTGCCTGCTTGCCACCATGTGGGCGCTAGTGTGCTTTTGACCTGCAAAGAGACGTTTTCTACATGAAGATGCTGGTGTGCATTTTTGCTCAGGAGTCTGGGTGTTGTTATGCAGACGTTCTTGCCTGTGTGAGGGCTTCTACATATTCGTTTGCTTTCACATGTGAAAAGGTGGTTGCGTTTGAGTCGTGGGGTTGGTGGTGATGTGCGTCCCTGTGCGTTCCTGTGAGCCGGCTGGGTTTGTGCATCTCCGAGCCCCTGTCTCTGTAAGGCCTGCAGATGTGCAGGGTGGCTGTCTCCAGGTTCTTCCTTTCACTCCCTCTTCTGTGACAGACACAGGTGGGAGTGATGGAGAAACAGGGAGAAGCAAGAGATACAGGACTGTGACCCAGAGGGAGTCAGGACAGACACCAGGCAGGAGGAGCAGCTGGTCCCTTGGTCTCTGGTCCTTCCGGCCAGTGCAGGCTGGCGCCCTCTCTGCCTCTGGCTGACTTCCCAGTGCAGGAAACTCTCTGACTCTCTTGCTCTTTCTCTGGCTCTGCCTCTATTTCCCCTTTAGACTCTGAGCTCCGGGAGCGTGGGGACAGTGTCTGGTCTGCTTTTTGTCACCGTCATTGTTGTTGTCTTCTGTAACTGGATATCAGAGCTTGAGTGGTTGATAATGAACAGAAATTTATTTGGTTCAGGCTGTGAAGCCCAGGAGCATGGTGCTGCATTTGGTGAAGGCCTTCGAGCTGTGTCATAACATGGCAAGAAGGCGAGGGGACATGCCTAAGAGAGAAGAAGGGGTGGGGCAGGGGAGTCCGACTCTCTGGATGCCTAACCTACCCCCACAGCAACTAATCCACTCAGAGGCCAGAGCCCTTAAATGTCTCCCCACCCCATTTTTTCCTTTAGTTGTAGGTGGACACAGTGACTTTGTTTTATTTATTTATTTCTATGTGGTGCTGAGGATCCAACCAGTGCCTCACACGGGCTAGGCGAGCGCTCTACCACTGAGCCACCACCCCAGCCCTTAAATGCCTCTATTAATAATGTTAGAAAAGCAATCAAGTTTCAAAATGATTTTTAGAGGGAACATTCAAACTATCGCATTAGGCCTTGTCCCCCCTCAACCCCCACCACCACCCCCCAAGAAAAATAACTCATGTTCTTCTCACATGCAGAACACAGTCATTCCCAATAGCCCTGGGGATCTAATTGGTTGTTCCAGCACCAACTCAAAAGTCCAAAGTCTTTTCTTTGTCACCTACAGGTGAGACTCAAGTCATGATTCATGCTGCAGCGAATGAGCTTGTGAGGTCAGAACAAGTTATCGTCTTTAAAATACAGTCGTCCCCCCCTGGGGGACGGGATTCAGTTACCCATGGTCAACTGCAGTTCAAAAATATTAAATGGAAAATTCCGGAAATGGACAGATCCTAAATTTTAAACTGGGCGCCATTGTGAGCAGTGTGCACCAGCTCATACCATCCCAGGGTCGCAGTATCTCTGCGCCAGTGTTCAAGTCACCCTTGCTGGACTCAAAAAAATGGTCCCAAAGTACAAGAATAGTGATGTTGGCAAGTCAGAAGCCACGAAAGGTGAACGTTCTCAATTTTAATAAGGAAAAAACAATCTTATATTGAGGTCACTAAGATCTATATAGGAATGAATCTTCCAGCCATAAAACGATGAAGAGAGAAAATGAAATCACACCAGTCTTGCTGTTGTGCCTCAAATATAAAAGGGAGCCAGGGGTGTGGCACATGCCTGTGGTCCCAGCAATGTGGGAGGCTAAGGCAGGAGGATCACAAGCTACAGGCCAGTGTGGGCAACTTAGTGAGACCCTGTATCAAAATTAAACAATAAAAAGGGCTGGGGATGTAGCTCAGTACCAAAAAAAAAAAAAAAGGAAAAGTTAATTACTGAAGATGGAAAGGCATCCAAGTTTGCAGAAGGAAGCTGGGAAGAAAGAACCTGTTCTGGCTGAAGGCAATGTTTTACTAGAGAGCACCAAGCCCCTGATGAACAGCTAGCTCAGTTGATCCCCTGAGAAGAGTGACACCAAGCCGGTTACTGCAAGTAAGGAGGGTGGTTTAAACAGACTCAGGAATCGCCTTGGACAGAAAAATCCAAAAAATTCCTGATGAGGCCACAAGACACCATGGTGGAGAGGATTTGCCAACATGCTTGATGAAGAAGGAGGCAAATGTCCTGGAGGCCAGCAAGAAATGCCAGCAAATGAGGAATTGGAAGATCTTGTGGAGTCATCTGCAGAGGAAGAGGAAGAATAAGATGAAGCAGAACCAGCCCAGTGGGAATCAGTAAAATTTGTGGATGTTTTCAGATTTCACAGACATTAAAGGACAGAATGAATGCTGGGAGGAATTCAGCATTGAAGTCACCCACGTGATCAGCAAACGATTACAGTGTCCACAGCAACGTGGATGAGCTAAAAAAAAAAAAAAGCCAACTTTTTGTCTTTCTTTGTGCGTGTGACACTGGGAATTCAATCCTGGGCCTTGCAAATACTAGGCAAGTGCTCTACCACTGAGTACACCCCCAGCCCATTATTTATTTATTTATTTAGGAACAGGATCTGGCTAAGTAGCCCAGGTTGTCCTCAAACTTGTGATCCTCCTGCCTCTACCTCCCAAATCTCTGGGATTACAGGCACGTGCCACGGGGACTGGCAAAATCAACTTCTGATTATCAGGTTCTTCCCAGAGTTCTTTCAAAAAGAAATCTCAACTGCCAAGGATTCCCAAGCATCAGCTTCGTCTACTCCTGACATCCAACCGTCAGAGTCCTCCTGGGTCAATGATGCAGGATCACCTGAAGCAGATGGTCCCACCCATGCACCAGTAGCCTAATGCTACGTCAGTATTTCATGTCATTCACCTCCTTGGTCTCATCACCTAGGCACCATACCATCTCACATCACAAGAAAGGTGAGTACAGGCTGGGACAGTGGCACATACCTATAATCCCAGGGGCTCAGGAGACTGAGGCAGGAGGATTGTGAGTTCAAAGCCAGCCTCAGCAACTTAGTGAGAACCTGACTCAAAATAGAATAAATAAAAGGACTAGGGATGTGACTCAGCAGTTAAATGCCCTGGGTTCAATCCCTGGTACAAAAAAAAGAAGAAGAAGAAGAAGAAGAAGAAGAAGAAGAAAAAATGAGTCAGAATAAAATAGTTTGAGACAAAGACCAAACTCAACCTAACTTTTATTACATATGTTATTATAATTCTTCTACTTTACTGTAAGTTATTTTGGTTAATCTCTTGCTGTGCCTAACTTATCAAACTTTTTCATACAGATATTCCTATAGGAAAAAACATAGTATCTATAGGGGTCAGTACTATCCAAAGTGTCAGGGGTCACTGGGCATGTTAGGAGGCATCCCTCATGGATGAGTGGACAGTTGTATGTAAATTTCACAGCTGCAATATCTTAAGAATGTCACAATGACATCAGCAGGAATTTTGAAGGGGACAACATTCAAACCACAGGACCTGGGTCTGGCTCTCTTCATGCCCCTGGTGCATCCCTTTTTCAGACACGGCCCTCTTACAGAATGAGGTGAGGCCTGGGGAGAAATGAGGTGACATCATTCCTGCAATGCCAAGCAAAACCCTCCCAGACCCTGGCCCTGGCACCTGAGTCTTCCTGCTTTGACTCATGAAGAAGGGACAGAGAAACATGATGTTTTTCAAGGATAGAACCTGCTTTACTGACATTGGAGAGGTGCCACCATAGCCTTTCCTGACCCCAGGACCTTGCTTCTGCTGTGAGGGGTCATCTCACAGAATGAGGACCCAGGGCTTCCTGGTCAGGGGCAATACAGGCTCTACACAGAGACACTCACTGAGTGCTTGAGGCAGGAGATAGAAATGGGGACCTTGGAAAATGGGGGTTGCACCACCCCAGATTAAAACCTTAGGCTAAAGCTTGTTGGAGGGGGTTTTTATTCTGTTTTGATTCGGTTTGGTGTGGTGGGGTGTGAATTTTGGTCTTAGTCGCCGGAACAAAATGGGGAAAGCCTGACTCACACTGGAGGCCCAGACATTGTATTATTGCTGTTGGGGGCCGAAATCAAGTCAAGATGGTGCCTGGCAGTTTGCCAGGAGGAGTGGTTTGTGAGGCAACGCCACAGAGCCATTAAGATGGTGGGGACTCCTTATTGGCTGACTGCTGTATCTAGATGATGCTAATTGAGTCAAGCTGTGTGTAATCAGTTAGGTATATGTACCGCTGTTGTTCAGTAATAAAGCAGTTCCCGCTTCAACCTTCAAGTTGCTTGTCACCTCCCAGTTATTTTGCCCAGCCAGACTGCGGCAAATGGTGGCCCATATGGGGAACTCCGGGATGCTCAGGGGTAAGTGACAAGGAAAGCTGCTCGCCCCTGGGGAACAGATAGGGCAAGAGGATGGGTGGCCATTTCAAGAAAAAAGAAAAATTCATACAGTGTGTTTTTGTTTCGTTTTGTATCATTTTTGTTTCATTTTATCTTAGTGTGTTGTGTTGTCTTTGTTACAGAAATACGGGATCAGAAGGTAGTAAAAATCAAACCGAAAGGGTGTTAAGTAAATTGCTAAAGGAAGGAGGCACCCCAGTAAAACCAAGAACAGTTAGGGCATATGTTGATAAAAGCCCAGGAACTCTAGTCAAAAAGAGGAAGAAAGTTCAGAAGAGGAAGGACTATCAAGGGAAGGAGTTACAACAAAAGGCTGCTACTAACCACTTTTTGTCACCAGAGGGTACGTGAGGCAGCATGGCACAGCAGGGACTTTCCAGCAGTGGCCGGCCCTTCCCCACCCTGCCTCACCCGGGGAGCAGGACGCCACTGCCGCAAGCCCGAGCCTGGGCAGCCTGGTGGCAGTTCGAGTCTGGGACACTCCCCAGGGCCGTAGGTTGCCAGGGGACAGCTACCAAGGATCTTGCCACCTTCCTTGAGAGGGTGAAAAAGAGCCTCCAAAGGAAATTCCCCCTAGGGTCCATTTCAGGATTGGCCCTGTTTTATACAAAAAAAAAAAAGG